ATATATATATAAAACTTTAAAAATGTTCAAGGGGTTAAGGTCTTATACAACCTATGCTAATGTTCAATGTTAAACATATAAAGCATCAACTATTTGATAAAATATAAAATATACCAGAAATGGTGTTTTTTTAAAAAAATTTAATCTTATTTTTAATATTTGTGTGTGATGTGTGTGTGTGAGAATGTGCACACATGCCATACACATGTGTAGAGGTTAGAAGACAAGCTCGGGTGTTGATCCTTGCCTTCCACCTTCTAAGAGACAGAGTCTCTTGTTTGCTGCTGTGTGTGCCAGGCTAGCTGGCCCATGAGCTTCCCATGATTCTCCTGGTCCTGCCTTCCATCCCACTGCAAAGGCACTAGGATTACAGATGTGCATCTGGCTTTTAAAAAAATACTGGATTTTTTAGTTTTATTTTATGTGTATGAGTGTTTTGCCTGCATGTATGTGCTGCATGTATGTGAGTGTACCCATGTTGTACAGGCCATATGCTCGTGGAGGCCAGAAAAGGGCATCAAATCCCCTGGAACTAGAGTTACAATGTGGAACTAGAATTAGACATCATGTGGGTGCTGGGAACCAAACCCTGGTTCCCTGCAAGAGCAGCCAGTACTCTTAACCCAGGTCAGCCTCAAACTGTATATAGTTAAGGATGACCTTAAACTTCTAATTTTCCTGTGTATCTCCCAAGTGCTTTGATTATAGGTGTGTATCATCACATCTAGTTTATGTGGTACTGGGGATTGAACCTAGGGTCTTGTCAATGATAAGTAGACACTATGCACTGAGCTACATCCCTAGCCCACAGAAAATTTTTAAAAGTTAGAGTTGGAGGGGCTGGAGAGATGGCTCAGCAGTTAAGAGTTCTTACTGCTCTTGCAGAGGACCCAGGTTCAGTTCCCAGTACCCACATCAACCAACTTACAACTGCCTATAACTCCAGTTACAAGGTATCTGATACCCTCTTCTGGCCTCCATGGGCATTTCACTCATACTGTATACATAAACTTAGGTAGGTACACATAGATGTACATAAATAAAAATGAATAAATCCTTACAGAACTGCTCAATTGTGTTACAAAAAAATACAAAATTAGCTCTAGAAAATTAGAATTGACACCGACTATGGGATTTAAGTTGAAATTTCCATCTGTAAATAAATAGATTAAGCCATTGTTATCTCACCATCTACAACCCCTTGGGAGGGTTCTGCCCCTTACACAATTGAGTTAGGACTACAGAAAAATCAGACTTTGTGTGTAAGGGAGTAAAAGAGGGCTCTAGTTGGCCTCAGTACAACACTGAATGAGTACAACCTAAACCTTCACTTTCAGCTGTTGGCTTCAGGTACATCCATATTAGAATGACTGTGAGAGATCCTGTCTTGGTCAGGGCAAGTGTCTTTCTGTATCTGCAATAGCAGATTCTGACCCTCTGGAAGCAAAGATGGGAATTTTCTTACCCAGCTTGTGCATACTTGCTATCTTCTCCCTCTTGTCCCTTGATCTCCTAACCCAGATCAGTGCTTTGTCTCAGCCTGATTTTATCATTGTGAGGAGCCAGTGAGCCTCAAAGACTCTGCGCTGTTGTTGGAACCAACTTGCTTCTGTTCTCAGATTTCTATTTTCTGTGCCGTCTGGGCACCTTGTGGACAAGTCACGTCATTCTTTCCCAGTCCAGTTCCATTATGGGAAAAGGTGCTGAGGGAAAACTGGGTAACCCAGTAGTAGGAGCCCTGGTTTGGGAGTCAGATGTTTTGAGTGCAGGACCTTGTATTGCCATGAGCTGTGTCCCTGAGCAATCAGGATTTTATTCCATGCTATGGCTTCAGTGGGTGCTTTGCAGAAGTTTAATAGCTTATAGGACAAACCTGCTCTAATTTCTTCAGCTGAAATTAGAGATGACTCTTGTTCCTCATTGACATAAAGACATACTGAAATTAAATAAAATGTAATGAAGCATGTTTCTTGAAAAGACAAGACCTGACATTCTGCATATTAAATGCACCTGACTTGTAAACTAGGATAATATAGATAACTGTATAGCACAGGCTGGAATTCAAAATTCCTTTTTCTCAGCCTCTTGTGTCCTGGGATCAAAGGCAGGCACTATCATACCCAACTTCACCAGTACATCTTTAGAGCATCCCCCTCCTTTCTCTGTTTGATCATACTTGCTTTTTCGCTTAGGAATTTTCGATAAATTAGACAATTTTGTCTTCAGAAAAAAATTTGTGAGTGGAAAAGGTCACTTCTACATCTACATTTTGTAAGGGAAAGTACGTAACCAGTGTCCTGGTTTGGTTCTCCATTGCTTTAACAAAGTACTCTGATCACTACCAACTTGGGGAGGAAAGGGTTTATTCTGCTTACATCTCCCAGGGGACAGGGAGCCCAAGGTAGGAACTCAGGGCAGGAACCTGGAGGCAGGAGCTGGAGCACAGACCATGGGGGAATACTGCTTACTGGTTTGCTCCCCTGGCCCATCCTCAACATGCTTTCTTTTTAAAAAATATTTTATTTTTATTTTATGTGTATGAGTGTATTCCTGCATGTATGTGAATGCACCTGTGTTGTGCAATGCTGCAGTAGTCAGAAGAGGGCTTTGGATTCCCCTGGGACTGGAGTTAAGAACAGTGTGTAGCTGCCATATGGGTGGCTGGGACTCAAACCTGGGTCCTCTGCAAGAGCAGGCAGTGCTCATAACTGCTTAGCCATCTCTCCAGCCCCTCAACCTGCTTTCTTATATAACATAGGCCCACCTGCCCAGGGGTGGCACCACCCACAGTGGGCTGGGCCATCCTGTATCACTCAACAATCAAGAAATACCCCACAGACATGGTCACAGGCCAGTCCAATGGAGGCAATTTCCCAGTTGAGGCTACCTCAACCCAGGTGTGTCAAGTTGACATTAAAGCTATCCAGTAAATGGCAAGGCCACTTCTCTTTCTAGCCTGATCCCTTTCTCTATGCCTCAGCTTGGAATTTGTAAGTTTAAAATTAGGGTATATAACCTAAAGATATATGAAGGCTCTACCATCTTGTTCTGAAATCGCGACTCAAATAATTATTTGTAATTTTGAATTGTCTTTGGAACAAGAAACGTTTTGCTTATTATAGTTAAATCGAGCACGTTATATTCAAGCACATCTTATATTCAAGTGGAAGTTAGAAATTTAATACAAAACCATTCCCATCAAATGTTTATTGTCTAGGAGTTAAATGGCAACAGCAGATGTCTAATTACAGAGAGCTTTCATAGAAGCAGAACTGGAGCATGATAGGAATCTAAGAATATTGAAGGCTAGGCTTGGGCCTAAATTGTAGACACCAAACTCCAATTAATGTTAATCAGGAAATAGTTCATTACAGGAGTTTGGTAAGAATGGGGAGGTATTTTTAGGGCTCTGCATGTTGGTTTATAGTCCCAAGTTAAGCGGTGGAATTTGCTAAGGTTGGGAGTTAGTCCTGAGAAAGCAGTATAAGACGGTGAAGGGGAAAGCCTGTGACAGATAAGGAACTCAAGGTGGAGGGACGGTCCTGGGAAGAAGACAGGCCAGGGCCAGGGCCATGAGACTACCTCTGGTAGAGCTGGGTACATCGCAAGCCTCCAGCATTGTATTGACAAGCTCACCAGCTATTTTTGTCCCACTTTTCCTTAAGTAACTGACATTTCTAGAACTTTCTGTTTTCCTGCTCCTTCTCAAGGGGCTGCTCTTTGTGCTGGCACTTGTCCACTCATCAGAATAATTCTTAAGCCACCAGAGAAGCCTTTTTTTCTCTTCCAAATGATAATGGGGTTGCTAGCTTGGTTGTTGGCTCTTGTTCTTTTGTTCTGTTTTCAAAGAATAAGTAAATTAAATGAAAGAAAACCATTTGGAATAATCATACTTTGAACTCTTGTTATAGCCCTTTAATGTCATACAACTCATTTAGTTCTGGGCCTCAGGTGATTATAATTTGTTAATGTTTTGTTTTCTTGAAGTATTTACATTTTGAAGTGAAAAAATCAGAATGAACAGCACAGTTGTTTTTTCTGAAGCCACAACTACTTAATCTTTTTTGTTTGTTCAAATGAAACAGTTCATTAAGTATGGAATTAGATTAATGAAGTAAATATTATGAATCACACTGCAGTCTGGTGCTCATTCTTATTTTTCTGACCCCATGTTTTGTTTTCTGTCTGTCTTTCTCTCTGTGTAGGCTGTCAGTCCAGTGTAAAGCTGTTGGAGCAAGGGAGCAAAGGTAGTGGATGATGTAATAGCCCGGCTGTCCCAAAGCATCTTTTGTTGTGGAATGGTTATTCCAGTCATCTCTCTATGAATCACATGTGAGGGGCTGCTTTGTGGAAGGGGTCCTTTGCAAGAGCACGTCAACGGGAAAGAGAAAGAGACATTCACTTGGAGGGCTCTTGCTGAAAATGGGTTTAACTCTGCTTTTGCCAGTCACCACCAGCCTGACCTCATACATTTCTAGTACAATGGAGTGGCTGAGCCTTTGAACACACCACCATTACATCATCGTGGCAAATTAAAGAAGGAGGTGGGAAAAGAGGACTTATTGTTGTCATGGCCCATGAGATGATTGGAACTCAAATTGTTACTGAGAGGTTGGTGGCTCTGCTGGAAAGTGGAACGGAAAAAGTGCTGCTAATTGACAGCCGGCCATTTGTGGAATACAATACATCCCACATCTTGGAAGCCGTTAATATCAACTGCTCCAAGCTCATGAAGCGAAGGCTGCAACAGGACAAAGTGTTAATCACAGAGCTTATCCAGCACTCAGCAAAACATAAGGTAAACGCTTTCTCTCTCTCCTTCTAAATTAAACAGACACACTGAATGAGGGATAATTTTAATGGAAGCTTCGTTTTTTAAATATTTTATTTATTATTTTATGTGTATGAGTGTTATGCCTGCGTGCAGGTAAGTGCACCCATGTCATGCAGTGCCCACAGAGGACAGAAGAGGCTGTCGGATCCCCTTGAACTGGAGTTACAGACAGTAGTTAGCTGCCATGTGGGTGCTGGGAATTGAACTCTGGTCTTCTGCAAGAACAGTCAGTGTTCTTAACTGCTGAGCCATCTCTCCAGCCCTGAAGCTTCATTTTAAAGTACAGAAAACAATTTGATGAAATTTCACTGCTTTTTAAATTTTGGTAACTGGTAATATCTGAAAATAAAGTACTAATCATATTGTTACCTTAAGAATATTTTACACTAAGCTAGGAATGGTGGCTTATACCTACCTGTTCTCCTAGCACTTGGGAGGCTGAAGGAAGATTGCCAGGAGTTCAAGGCTAGCCTAGGCTATGTAGCTCAAGACTGTCTCAGCATGCCAGGGGGAAGAAAGAATATTTTAAGCTATAGAGAACAGTTAACTTGTAATTTGGACAAGTGCTATGTTTCTCTATCCATGTATTAATGTCTTGATGAAATTGCTTTATCAATTTAAACATTATTTTGTATCATCTACAAATCCACCGAAAGTCAACCTTTTCATTATTAATATGTGATAATATTGGTCAAGACATTTTGTTCAGGAAAAGTTATTCCTGAGATAATGAAGTATTATATGTTAGAGAAAGCTATATCTTTCCCTCCTTTCCCTCCTCTTTTCTTTTCCTTCCTTTCTTCCTCTTCCTCCTTCTCCCTTATTTCCTCCTCCTCCTCCTCCTCCTCCTCTTCCTCTTCCTCTCTCTCTCTCTCTCTCTCTCTCTCTCTCTCTCTCTCTCTGTACAGGGTCTCATGTGCCTTCTGTCTGTTGGGGCTGCTCTAGAACTTGCTATATTGGCAACAATGGCCTTGAACTCCTGTTGAGTTCATCTTTTAATTCTAATAAACAGCTGATTTCTTTGTTGTTATATAGGAGCCATTTTTTTGTGTGTGCTTATGTGTGTGCGAGTGCGTGGGGGTGTGGGGGTGTGGGTGTGTGGGTGTGGAGGCCAGAGGAAAGCCTGTGTTATCCTCAGGAATGTCAGCCACCTTGTTTGAGACAAGGCCTCTCATTGACTTGGAACTCACCATTTAGGCTAGACTGGCTGGCCAGGGAGCCCCAAGGATCCTCCTGTCTCCACCACACATGTACCGCCATGCCCAACATTCTTGTATGTGTGTGGGTTGGAGTGTGGGTTGGGGTGGGGGGTGGTGGAACTCAGGTCCTCATGCTTGAGAGGCAAGCACATTACCAATTGAGCTGTCTTCTCGGTTCCTTATAGGGATCGTTCTAAGAAATGTTTCTTTAGGTAAAGAATTAAGTTTATTTTGCAAATTATTTGGTTTGTGAATTTTACTCTTACAGTATGAAGCTTTGAACACATCATAGAAGTAGCATCAATTTAGCCTTTAAAAATATTTTTTTATAGCTGGGGTGGTGGTGCTCACCTTTAATCTCAGCACTCGGGAGGCAGAGGTAGGCTGATCTCTGTGAGTTCAAGGTCTGGGCTACATAGTTCCAGGTCAGCTGGGGCAACAAGGAGACCCTGTCTCAAAAAGACAATATGAATATATAATTTTTAAAGCATTAATCCACTGTATGCTAACTTTATCTAATAAACCAACTAAATCTCATCTTTGTTACATTATTAACTGAAAACAAGAAGCAGTTAGTTTGAAATCCAGTAAAATGTGAGGTCTTACTCAATTAGTGGTTTGTTTAGATTATTTTTTCTTACCTCCTTTCTCTCTACTCCCCTTTTTTTTGAGACAGAGTCTCAGTAGGCCCGACAAGTTGTTTTTTTTTTTTGTTTTTTTTTCCCCCAGTCTTTTTGAGACAGGATCTCTCTGTAGCCCCAGCTGTTCTGGAACTCACTATGTAGACCAGGGTGGCCTTGAACTCACAGAAATCCGCCTGTCTCTGCCTCCCAAATGCTGGGACTAAAGGCGTGCACTACCACGCCCAGCTCAGACAAGTTTTAATGTTAGGTAAGTGTGGCCTTGAACTCCTGATCTTTCTGCTTCTGTCTCCCAAGGGCTGGATGTGCAGGTGCACTCCCATGCCAGGCCCTCACCTTTCTTCTCAACAAGCTTCACATTTGCATTTTAGGTGGACATTGACTGCAGTCAGAAGGTGGTAGTTTATGATCAGAGTTCCCAAGATGTCGCTTCCCTGTCATCAGACTGCTTTCTTACTGTGCTTCTGGGTAAACTGGAGAAGAGCTTCAACTCTGTTCACCTGCTTGCAGGTAAGGCTGTGATACAGTGGAAGGGACTTGGTCTATCATTTCCTTTTATGTAAGCAGTTTCACAACTGGTGCATAAAGTGACTTACAGCTTTTGATTGATGTAACTGTTCATTTGTTTTGAATACTATTGTTCTTCCACATTAGTGAGTGTATTTTTTATTTGGTTTTAAGACAGGGTCTCATGACTCTGTAGCATGAACTGACCTGGAACTCACCATGCAGCTCATACTGGTCTCGAATTTGCAGGAGTCCTTCAGCCTCAGCCTCCCTAGTACTGTGATTATAGGCCTGAACTACCTGTCTTGGTCAGTGTATTCTGACTTAGCTGAAATGCCTCTTGATCTTTTATTAACTGAAAATGCTACATAGGGCTAGCTCGGAGCTACTTGCTTCTCTCTGCTATTTTTCTGCTTACCTGCAGTGTAAGAACACCAAATGATCTGCCTCTTAGCTCTTGTAATGAGTTCTCACCCCGTGGCCAGAGCCAGACCAGTATTGCAACATCAGACCCTTCCTGGAAGCATTAAGAGTCCGGAGAGACTATATACAGAATGCTTATTCTAATGATTAGGTAAACAATTAAAAAATTGTTGTTATTTTATGTGTATGAGTGTATTGCCTTCATGTATGCAAGTGCACCCATGTCATGCAATGCCCAAGGAGGTCAGAAGAGGGCATCAGCTCCAACATGTGGGTGCTGGGAATAGAACCTGGGTCCCCTGCAAGAACAGCCAGTGCTTTTAACCACTGAGCCATCTCTCCAGCCCCTAGGTAGATGATTTTAAAACTTAATAGCTTGTGTATTTTTATTTTGTTTTTATATTTTTAAAAAAATCTCAATTTATAAATGCTAAGCAAGTGAATAATTTTAAGTACATGGGAAGGGCCCAATGGGAAGAACTGTTCACCCTGAGGGAGAGCAGTGTAGGAAGTTCATCTCAAGGAATTCCAGAACAGATTATTCATCCTTGCTTGCCTGTTCTACAAACTTCTCTCCCTGGCACTGGCTCACAGAAGGGAAATACAGTTGGCCAGTGCATGACCTTAACATAAAGCTGCTGTCAAGGCAAATTCCCCCTGTGGTACTCAAGAGTATTTTTAAAAATTTGATCTAGGAAAACCAAAATATTGATAGGTATTGTCATTTTCCTACCTTTAGTGTTTTTGGAAGGAAGATACAGTGAACTTGATGTTATTGGCAATTTTTAGGATACACATTTCAGTTTTAAGATTAATCATTTCGTATGTAAAGGGTTTTAAACTGCTAATACTTTGAAACTCTATGCAGATTTAGATAAGATTTCTTCATGTCCAGTTTTCTTTCACAGATTTTTGCTTCAACTCTCTAAAAACAAGGACTCAGATAATGTCTTTTTTTTTTTTTTTTTTTTTTTTTTGAAACAGGGTCCCCCTTTAGCCCCAGCTGTCCTGGAACTCCCTGTTTAGACCAGGCTGGCCTTGAACTCACAAAGATCCACCTGCTTCTGCTTCCCAAGTGCTGAGATAAAGGCGTGCGCCACCATGCCCTTTTTTAAAAGATTTTATTTTTATTTTATGTATATGATGGTTTTGCCTGCATTTATGTAAGTGCACTACATGTATGCAGTGCCTGCAGAGGTCATAAGAGGGTGTCAGATTCCCTGGAGTTAAGGATGGTTGTTAGCTGCCATGTGGGTGCTAGGAACTCAAATCTGGATCCTCTGCAAAAGTAGTAAGTGCTCTTAACCACTGAGCCATCTCTCCAGCCCTTCAGATCACTTCTAACCACACCTTTTATTTATGCTGTGATTATATCTGGTCTCTCTGTATGTATCCTTAAGTGAAGCCTGCTTTTTTGAGAATGTCATTTACAGAATTTTATGACTTTGAATTACAAGAATTACAATTATTTTGTTCTGTTTCTGTTGGTAGGTGAGCATGTGAGCATGCAAGCATGCGTGTGTCTGTCTCACTGGGGATGGGACCTAAGACCTTGCATAATACTGAGTGGGTGCTCTATCAGTGAGCTAACCAATTCCTTCCCTCCCACAAAAATGATAGGCACATTCTTTTAATTGGAGTATAAATGGGCTAAATACAACTAGTATTAGAGTTCCACTAATGCTAAGTTTAAGTGCTCCTTGGACTTACTTCAAATACTATTAATGGGATCAGGGTTTGTTGTGATCTCGGTCCTTTGCCCCCCTTCAGTTATTGGGGATCACTTACGTTAGGCAAGCACTGTATCACTGGGTCACACCCTTAGGTCCAGTCTTTAACGAGTTTGTGTACTAAGATACCATGCCCTGCTTTGAGATCCCTTTCCAAGTGGGGAGTACTGGCCTGACAGCTAGGCCAAGCAGACACCCTTTAATGTAGGTTGTCTTGCATGTCCTTTACTCCCTTGCTGAAGAGCACTCCTTTGTTTTCTGGCAAGGTTCTTTCTTATCAGTCATGTGTGGCTTTGGGAGAGGCACTCATTGGGCAACAAGGAAGAAAAGGGCTCAGTCTGACCAGCTGAATCAACCCTAGGGACATGTATGACACACTGAATCAGAACACCCTCTCGTCCTCATTCATAGGAGAAATTTGTCCTAGGCCTAAAAGGAAGTGTACTTGGGCTTTGCTAAGAACCACACTGACACCCTGTATCCACATGTACACTTCTAGAATTCTATTTTTCAGCTTAGAGGGGGCTCCCAGATCTGAAGTGCATTGTTGGGAAGTTTCTCCATAGTTACGTGTCTTCTGACACCTAAGACAGTGACTGTCCTGACTGGTTAAAAGCCCCCTAACAATCTCAAAGCCACTGACCAGTTGGGTATTCTCTTGGTTAGTTTATTCCTTGAAGTAGAAAATTAGTGGAAAAAAAATGTTGGGAAAAAATCTTGAAAGGCTTTGGCCTTTCCTTTTTCCTTTCCTTTCTCCTTTCCTTTTTCCTTTCCTTTCCCCTTTCCTTTCCCCTTTCCTTTCCCCTTTCCTTTTCCCTTTCCTTTCCCCTTTCCTTTCCCCTTTCCCCTTTCCCCTTTCCCCTTTCCTTTCCTTTCCTTTCCTTTCCCCTTTCCTTTCCTTTCCCTTTCCTTCCCTTTCCCCTTTCCCCTCCTTTCCTTTCCTTTCCTTTCCTTCCCTTTCCCCTTTCCCCTTTCCCCTGTCCCCTGTCCCCTGTCCCCTGTCCCCTGTCCCCTTTCCCCTGTCCCCTTTCCCCTTTCCCCTTTCCCCTTTCCTTTCCTTTCCTTTCCTGACAGGGTTTCCCTGTAGCTTTGGCTGGCCTGGTACTCACTACAGAGACCAGGCTCCAGTTCACAGAGATCCTTTGTCTCTGCCTCCCAAGTACTGGGGAAAATGTCATGTGCTTCCATGATCAACTTATTATTTTTATTTTATAAAATAATACATTTGGGTGTACTGCCCGAATGTATGTAAGTGTACCCATATTGTGCAGTGCCTATGGAGGACAGAAGAGAGCATCAGATCCTCTGGAATTGGAGTTACAGATGGTTGTTAGCTGCCATGTAGGTGCTGGAATTCAAACCTTGGTCTTCTGTAAGAACAAACAGTATTCTTAACCACTGAGACATTTCTCCAGTCCCAAAACTTCAGAAAAAAACTTCAAAACAAACTTGTTTCTTGGCTTTTACTTGTTCACTATTGATCACATTATCATTTTATTCTTTTTGCCACCCTTGTCTATTTCCAAGAGTCCTAGATTTTATTTCACAGAACTGAAGAAAATATAGAAGGAAAACCTTTAATATAGGCTTTCACTTTATATTAACATAGAAGAGAGGGGGAATAGACTGATTTAATAGCAATAAAGATAGCTACAGATAAACAGTACTATTCTGGTACTTTCCTGTTTCCCCGCTTTTTCTGTGAACAACTCAGGCTATGGGAACTCTCATGATACTCCTCACTGTCACAGCCAGTGACCCTCATAATCTTCTTGCTCAGCCTCTTGAGTGTTGGAATTATAGCTTCATGTACCCATGCCTGGCCATCTTTCCTCATTGATTAAAAGCTGAAAAAGGGTGGCTTTGGATATAGCAGTGGTAGAATATTTGCTTAGCAAGAAAGATCCTGGGTTTACTCTCATCATCCTCCTGACTCTAGAAGGGAGGGAAGTAGGGAGAGAGGGATGGATAGATATATGGAAGGATGGAGGGAGGGAGAGAGAGAAGGAGGGAAGGAGGGAGGGAGGGAGGGAGGGAGGGAGGGAAGGATAGAAGAAAGGATCCATATACTCAGTTTTTTTTTTTCCTGGTGGTGATAGAAATCAAACACAGAGCAGGTGCTCTACCACTGAGTTATATCCCTAGCCCCCATGTTCATTTTTATCCAGTGATGAGTTACAGGATAACTGTACAGCAAAGAAAACCCATAGGTGAATCACAGACTTCAGGTTTGTGATAGTGGGTCAAGGACATTTCCAAGTTCTCACCATGTGCCTTAGGCTCATATCTACAAATAATTTGAGAGTCTTCTAGAATTTTCTGAAGCTAAATTGGAAATCAGATGCTTTTTCTCAAAAACTCTTTTGTGTGGTAGCTCTTTCTCAGCCTTTCATGGTCATAATTGTCATACTTTATGGGATGAGGCAATATATAAAAAATTACATAAAAAATTTAAAGCATTAAATTATTTTAGCCAGAGGGGTTCATCAAATACAAGCGTAAACTGCTTTGTTCTATGCTAAACAGCAGTTAAGTACTTTGTTGGGTACAGTCTCAGGTACTTTGCCAAGGACCTCTATAGACATTCAATATCTGAATATAGCTAAGGTCTTAGATTACTGTTTGCTATGGTTAAAGAACAAATACATATTTTTTGTTTCATTTTGAATAAGGTTTTCTGGACTTAAGTGGACAAAATGTAAATTGAGTCTTTAAAACATCTGATAAAAGACAATATTTCAGTGAAAAGCACTCTGATCATTCAGAATTGGTTGCCATTTGTCTAAAAATACCACAGTGACTGAGAGTCACTGTGTATATACCTGCATATACAGTGGAATTTTTTAGCCT